TTTAGAAAAGGCTGTTTAACTTTCTATATCTATGCGGTGCGGGAAAAAGGCTGCTTCGGATTCTCCGCCGTCGATGATCTGAGAAGAATTTTAACGGCCGTTATTGCTCTCCACGATTTCTTGGACCACACCGCCATGCTCGCGTTACCGAATCAGAGAACCATCGGCTACGGCGGCGGCGGCGGCAGCTTTACGCCGCCGCCCGTCGCCATGGCTCACTGAATCTCTCTCCGAAATTGATCTCTTCTTTCTATCTTTATTTATTTGTTTGACATTTGATTCCTGCAACTTTTTTCCTTATGATGCAACAGAGATTTGATTTTTACACCTGGAAAGTTACACGTTAACATTTTCAAACTACTTGTAATTTTCCCGTCGATTTTCCCGGGTAAATAATGGAATCGTCAAAAGAAGGGGGTGAGAATTTAGGGATTTTATTTTTTGATTGTTAAAATATTATTATGTTTTGAAATTTTGAAGGAAACGAGATGAAGACGTCAGAGAGGGGAAGCGATTGGCTTTAATTTTGAGACCCGTGCCGCAGCTTGCAGTTTCTGTTTCTGTAAAAATTTGTTTTTGTTTTTTGATTTTGGAATAATCTCACGTGGATTATTTTTTATTTTTAATTCTTTAGATAAATTTTAGAATAAAAAAATAATCAGCAAATCTATTTCCAACTATAGATCATATAATTTTGTTATTAATTAAAAATCAAAAAGTTCAAAATTATCAAGGATTTTACCTTTCTTTTTTTAAATTTCTTTTTTCTCTTGTTCGGTTGACAGATAAATATGAGTTTATACAAGGATATGAGTTTATACAAGGAAATGTTTGGCTGGCATTTGATAGTCACAACGAACTTAATCGAGTTTGTGTTGTTTATAATTGGAAGGTTAAATTTGTGTAGGATGTGTTTGGAAGACCGAGTTTGTGTTGTTTATAATTGGAAGGTTAAATTTGTGTAGGATGTGTTTGGAAGACGTAGAAAGTTGGGTATTAAATTTATGTCTACATTTTTATACATTTATCGATATCAATATATAGACGTAAATAAGTATGAGAAAAAGAAAAGAATCAACAAAATATAAAAAGAAAAAAAAATCATAATATTAATCCTAAGAAATTTTTACTTATTTAAAAATAATAAAGAAACATATTTGTCAATTTCATTAACTAAAAATATTATTCAAATATTTTGAAAATATGRGTAGTTTAATAGAAATACATATGGATTCCTCAAGTACGGTAAATAAGCCGAGGCCAAAAGATGGAAAAAAAAAATCGCCCACCGTGGGGTTCGAACCCACGACCACAAGGTTAAGAGCCTTGCGCTCTACCAACTGAGCTAGACGGGCTTTGATATCTGATCTCATTTAATTCAGAATATATTTTTTATTATAAACTTCCAGTTCTGCATTTAGGAACACGGCACCGGCAGGTACCAAACGACGCCCTTGGGAGAAGACTCTGAGCGCGACAATGGCGTCTCTGTGGCCTTTGTTGGAGGTTCTGATCTATCTCCTTCTTGTTGCAGCTTTTGGATTACTCTCTGCTCTTCTCTTCCAAGCTAACAGAAGAAGACTTAACCATGCGTATGGAGTTCTTCACCATTTAATTTATTCTCATCTGGTTTCCGCTTCCGCAAATTTTGACGCCTTTCTCCTGTTTCCTTGCACTAATCTAATATTTCGTCTTTCAATTACCTAATTTTGTATCTGATTGAATTTTAACTCATTAGCCACGTTGAAGCTCCCGCGGTCTTTGAAGATCCTAATACGTCGACGCAGGCATTTCCCCACCCTCTCCGATTACATTGAATTGAATTTTTTTATGATGATATTGCGTTCTGTGATTGAAGTCCGGAATGAGGTATTCTGGTGTTGAGATTTCTGTTGTTTTATGGCAGGTTTCTTGTCCTTCCATCTTTGATCCGGCTGAGAAGTATATATCTTTGATCATTCCTGCATATAATGAAGAGCTCAGGCTTCCTGGAGCTCTTCAAGAAACAATTGAGTAAGTCGGATTGGAAGTTTGAGTGAATTCCGCCCCCCTCCCCCATTTTTTTGGTTTTGTTTATATCATTAGCTAATTTGTGCCACAGCGAAAGACAATTCTAGTTAACTTATCAAGCCATATTTTGATCTCACGATTTATTTTGCTTTTAGTTGGAAACTTCAAAAATGTGGTTGTGTCATCTATAGATAATACTTCAAATTTATTGAAAGATGCTGCACATTTGTCATATACACATAGGTCACAATTGTTAGATCCAAACTGTATATTGGTGCTTAATAATTATTCAAAATACGAACAAGGTGTTGGAAGCACCTAAATATTGTCTTCATGCATCTGCAGCACATGCTTGATTTCTTCAGACCTTAGTTATATCATTAATGAGTAGATAATGAATGCAATTTTTCAGAGAGGTTCACTTGGTTACTAGCTCAGTATTCTGTTTGAAGAACCGCTTAAGAAAGGTGGCAACATTTATGCACAATAACATGTTGTATTTATTTTGTAGTTATCTTCAGGAACGCGCAGCAAAGGACAAGTCATTCTCATATGAGGTACTGATTATCTCTTAAAAGTTCAGCAATGATTTAACTTTGTGCAAGTCACCTCTTAAAAAAGTTAGCAATAATTGCTTTAATCCGAATCTTGTGACTTGTTCAAACATTTTACTGGTCTTATGAAAACATTAAATAGAGCTTTTTCTAACTGTGTGCCATGAGACATAAGGAGTTAAATTCTTCTTTCTGTTAGTGTTAGGTAATTCATTGTGCTGGAACTGGAAATAACTTGTTTTCCAAGACCGAAAATGTTTCACTCTTTTAGAACTTTGGTCTAGTGTCTTTCTTGATAAGTTGTAGAAAAAATCATTAAATAGTCCGTGGGTTGTATTAACGTTCTCCCTCCTGCCTGAATTCCTCTCTTGAGTAAGGACAAACATCATGAGATCGCTGTGTTTAGTCTTGGAGAATACATTTAACTTGTTTATTTGTTAAGGTTTCATTTCTTAGTATGTATTATTCTGTTGATGAAGTTTCTCATTGTTCTGACAGAACTTTCTATAGATTTCCCATTAAGAAGGCAAGTGCTAAATTTGTAGCAGATGGTATACAAGAAACCCCGAACTCTCCCTATCCAATTTCCTTGACAAACTGATTCTTTCTTCACTCCTATCTCTTATTCGTTCAGTTAACATGACCTCACCCAATTCCAAAAGCTAATTATATCCTCTCACTCCCTCCTCATTATTTAACTATCCAGCTCAATACCTAGCTGACTGTGGAATTGTGGATCCATTTTTTCCACCAAAAATTGAACTCATTCAACTAGTTTAGCTGGTATCTTCCTCCTCCCATAGAAGAACACTGGGACGTATCATGTTCTTTCTAACCCAATGACAATCATTTCAGAACATAGCATACATTTTATTGATTCTCTAATTCTAAATTTTTGAATTTGATGAAAACTTGATCAGGTGGTAATTGTTGATGATGGAAGCAGAGATGGGACAAAAAGAGTAGGTTCAGACTTTTCCAAGAAGTTCTCAGTAGACAATGTGAGGGTTATCCTTCTTGGAAGAAATCATGGAAAGGGAGAAGCTATCAGAAAAGTGAGTCCATTCTAAATAGGTTATTTTATTTGTTATCTGTTTCTGATGTTACATTCTCATATGGCAACAATGCATTGAAATCTCTAGTCTCCCTGGAAGCATTGTTAAACAGGGGATGTTGCATTCACGTGGTGAATTACTTTTAATGCTGGATGCTGATGGAGCAACCAAAGTGAACGACCTAGAAAAACTTGAAAATCAGGTTATCTTTATTATTCATGTAAACTGGTGATGTTTTGATTGAACTGTTATTCTTATAGTTTTGCCTTGGGCGCATTAAATTTTCAATATAGCTACTGAGGACTACTTTATGGCCTTCCAGATCCATGCATTTGCCAAAAAGGAGTCTAATGGTTCTAGTTTTAGAATTTCTGATATTCCTGTTGCTGCTTTTGGTTCTCGTGCTCATCTGGAGGAAAAGGCTCTGGCTACAGTTAAGTATTTTTTTACACCAAATAATTGTTATTATTATTGCCCGCTGTATATTTTTCTTTCATTCATATGGTTTTTCATTAATATAATAGATGTGGACATTCTAACAAACACGCGCATATATATATATATATATATATATATATATATATATATATATATATATATATATATATATATATATATATATATATATATATATATATATTTGAATTTGAAAAGGATTGTTTAGCCTTAATCCGAACCATTTCACGTATTTTTCAGAGGAAGTTGTATCGTAATTTCTTGATGAAGGGTTTTCATCTTGTGGTTCTCTTAACTGCCGGTCCGGGAATTCGTGATACCCAGGTGATTTGTGCTTTCCAAATGACGTAAATCATTTACCAACATTCTAGTTTGATTGCATACCATATATTACTGTAAATAACCTGTTAACTCAAAGTCAATATATTTTACAGTGTGGTTTCAAGATGTTTACCAGATCTGCAGCAAGAAAGCTTTTCACAAATATTCGTTTGAAAAGGTAGATAAATCTCGTACAACCTTATTTGTCCTTGCTCAATTTCAAAAGCAGATTCTCATAGCATTGCACAACTGATATTGTTCTGATTCTGTGTCGGCATTTATGATAACTTGGTAAAATTAAGATAACATGCAGCATTTCAGTGCTTTGTCATCTCTCTCTTTCTGTGTTTTGTTATTTTGCCTTTTTTTCGCGCTCTGCCTTCAGTACTCTATTATCACAGAATCTCTACCGTACATTTGATTATTGAAGGAAAAGTGATGTCGAATTTTGAATGACAAAAGAGACCATGACATTGACAGAAAAATAAGGCTAATTTCCCCATTGCCCTCGCATATTTACTGTGGTCTCTCTGTCCCTTTGATGCAGTCCTTTTTTTTCTTCAATTTGTTTCACTGCTGTACCACTTCATTGGATGCCATCTAGAAGATGAATTCGAATCACTCATGTGCATTTTTTATACATTTGCATATATTGTTCAGGGAACTAACTCTGCTATGCGCTTTGTGCAGATGGTGCTTCGATGTCGAGATTGTTTATCTTTGCAAACGGTTTCGTATTCCTATGGTTGAAATATCCGTGAACTGGTCCGAAATCCCTGGATCAAAGGTAAATCCGTTGAGCATTCCCAACATGCTTTGGGAGCTGGCTCTCATGTCTATGGGATATAGGACTGGTATGTGGAGAGTTGATACATAACCTTTTTTGGCTGTCCCATAATGACAGCAACCTTGGAGAAGAATGAGTTGATTTAGGTACAAATACATGCTCAAAATGTTAGTTTTACAAGGAGTGATATCTTGATCTTTATCAGCATGCTTAGGTAATCCACAGCCTGACCATTTTATTTGTGTAAAACTATTGAGATGTTTAAAGCTTTATTCTTCTTACCTTCACACCAGTTTATGAATTTTGATGTAAAAGTCCTAAAGAATTATAAGCCAAGTTTAAGGGTTAAAAAAAAATTATATTGTCGACAATCTAGATAAATTCTTTTGTTGTAAACTTTCAACTTTTTCACGAGAAAGTCGTAGCCAGAATATGATTGAAGTGATTGGTTTTTTCATAAGGACCATTAAAGATAGTCAAAGTTCAGATTCTGATTTTTCCATTTATGAAAAAAATGCAAACTGGGGAGGAAAAATGATGAACGTGTTGGATTCTAAGTTGGAAAGATATAATTTCCTCTCATTATTTATTTATTTTTTGAAACAATCTTCATGCAAATCTTAAACTGGAAAATTTGAAATCCATAATTTGCTGATGAGAAACCCTAAACAATTAATGTATCAACAATTGCTTAGCGTGTGTATTTAAAGGATAAGATTCCCAGAAGCAAATTCATACCTTCTAGAATTCCAACATTGGAAAAGTTTTACCTCACCGGTTCTACAAGGGACAGTAATTTATAGGCTAAGGCAAACAATTTTAAGGTAAAAAGACAAGAAATTGATAGAAGGGAAATATCAAATATGATAAAAAAAATAATAAGGGTTAATGGTACAGATAAGTTTCAGAAAAAAAAATTGTAAATATGATACAAAATTGAATACATGCGACTATTATTATTTACCTTGACCAATATCTAAGCCAACCAAATTGTATAATTTAGTGATTACTATGATTTAGCTCAAAATAATTATCAATTATATAAAGAACATAACAAAACTTACGTGTTGATCGGTCGACACTAATTTTTATGCTCACCACCACTAAAACTTTTTTTGATTACTTTTATGCATTGTAAAAATTTAACGGTAGTCAGTAGTCTGTACTAACTGGTTAGAATAGAACCTAAATAATTTTTCTTAAATAAATTAATAGTTAGAGGAAATAGTCAACCTCCCCCGTAACAATTATGCAATAATAGAACCTAGAATTCTTTCCTATCTCCATCTCTTTGGTCCCAAAAAAAAAAAAAAAAACCTACTTTTTAAAGTTATTTAAAGCTGTTCAAAGGCTTTAATATAACAAAGCTGTTTCAACAAGTAAGCCTCAGAAATTTCAAAATTTGTTTTCTTTCATAATCTTGAAGTAGTTCATTACATCTGCTAATACACTTTTTGGGAGCAGTTGAATGGAGCAGTTGCATTTCTTATGTCATTTAGAATTAGAAAAGAGGGTTTAAATGAAACAATGGGGTGGTTTCTCTTGAATGTTCATTTTTCAAGCAACAAAAATCAAAATGGAAGAGGAAAACACTTCTTTCCATGGATTATTGAAGAAGCAAGCTTCTTTCTTCTTCAAATCAAAGTTCAAAATGGCTCGTTTGGCCTTCACTGATGTTACTCCTGCGCAACTGTAAGTCATTTAAATTTGACTTTCCTTTCTTACCTTTCTTTTTACTTTTCAAAAATGGAGTTTCAACTAAAGACCCAAAAAGGGTTCCACAACTCTCCACCGTTATCAATGGGGTGCTTTTTCGTTTCTTTCCTTGTACTGGAGAGATATAAGTTTTCGAGTTTAGTGGTAATTTAATATGGTATCAGGTTGAGCTTGACCAAACATAGCGGTTTAAGCTAATAGGTTAGGTGATGATATAATTTTATATAAAATAGAATGTTGTTTTGTGATTTGGGTTGGGATTTTTTCAGGCTGACAGAAGAAGCCACAAGTGGGAATCCATGGCCACCAGACGCACCCACCATGAGAGTGATAACAAGGGCAGCTTTTGAAGTTAATGATTTCTTCAGAATTGTGGAGATTCTTCACAACAGGTTTCTAAATTCTTCAACTCCAAAAAGTATTTGATGTTCCTATATTTTTTTGTTATTCAACATCTTTAAAAATTCACAGTCTCAAACAATTAGACACGAACTTAAAAGGTTAAGGGTCTATTAGACACAAAATTGAAAGTTTAAGAACATATTTTGTAAAGTGAACGACCTGTTAGGTAGAATCTAGTTTAGGGACTAACCTTGTAATTTAACCGACTTTTCCAGCATTCCTTGTTTTTTCCTCTATTGATTGTTTCTTTAAAAACACAAATGCTTGTTGTGAAATTCAGACTAAAGAAATTTAAGGCAAAAGATTGGAGAGCAGGTTATAATGCTCTGATATTGTTAGAACATGTTCTAACACATGGGCCACAGAGCTTTGCTGAGGAATTTGAGGATGATCTACAAATTTTTAAAACAATGGATGGCTTCCACTTTCTTGATGAGAAAGGGTTAGTTTTATTTAATAATTGCTTCTTTTTTTTTTCCCTAGATTTTCTTATAGATTTTCCCATTTTAGAATTTTAATTTAATTAAATTGAATTTCAAAGCCTGAATAATTGATGGGGTGTATGTAAATCTTCCTCAAAATCATAGTCCAAAAAGAATCATTGAAAAACCAATCAAGAAACAGACAACAAAAAGACAAATTTAGAAAATAAAAATATCCCAATCGAGTCATTTGATGACTTTTTTTTTTTAAATTTAAAATTCTGGTTTATTTACTAATAGTTATTTGTTTTATTGTATATATTCCAAATTGTTTTGAAAGCATATACTAGAAAGTTTAGAATCAAATCCAACGTAAGACATACTATGGAGTATGAAATGTCAAATTTATGCTATATTAAAAAAATAAAATTGTGATATTTTTTTTAAAATTCATATTAAGTATATATTATGGAGTAAAATTCCACTTTTATTTTTAAAGTTATTAAGTAAAATTTGAAAACGTTTAAAATAGTAATTTTTAAAATTTTGTTTTTTTTATTACTAAAATTTGGTCATGGATTTTAAAAGGTAAAAAATTAAATATAAAAAACAATAAAATATATATAGTTCATAAACTAAAATTTTAAAAGAGAAAAAAACATAACCGCAAAATTATTTTCAAGCAGGGAATAAAAAAATTCAATCCAACACCAAANAATATCAGCCATTTCATGAAATTTAAATTTGAAATATCAAAATTATGGACTCTGGACTTTGCTCATCGAAAATAAAGCATTCTTTAAAAAAGTAATAATAATTTCTCAGCTTCGTTTTAGAAAATTTCAGAAAGAAACAAGCCCTAATTCAAATTGCAGATTCAATTGGGGACACAAATAATTTCTCAGCTTTTTTTTAGAGGTTTTCGGAAAGAAACAAGCCCTAATTCAAATTGCAGATTCAATTGGGGACACAGCGTGAGAAAGTTAAGCGCAAGAGTAGTAAAACTTCTCGAAGACAGAGAATTTCTCAAGGAAGAAAGAAGTAGAGTTCGTAACCTGAGTCGCGGAATCCAAGGCTTCGGAAACTTCAGCCATCGATCCTTTCCGACGACGGCCGATTCACATTCCGGAAAGTACAAGCGATACAATTCTGAGTGCATCGACCGGCGATCCGATCGGGCGGCGCCGGCAAGAGAGAATTCACCGATCAAGGAGAAAGAGGCGGAAAGGAGATTGAAGGAGGAGGGCGATTCAGAGTCGAAATTGGGCGGAGGAGGTGAAAATACGAAGGTCGATCATCCGTTTTGTGAGTTTAAGCATCAGGTTTCAGAATCTCTTCTTTCTTCTTCTATCGAATGGTGAGATTTTGATGCTTCGGGAAGAAGAAAACTGGACTGAACTCGCATTTGTAAATTATATATATGAGTATGTAACCTGACCCGACAATAGGAAGAATAAAAAGTTGTAATATATCATTTTATTATATGGGTATTAATTTTTCTATATTTCTATCCAAATTTTCATATGTCTATCTGCATCGATATCAGATATAAATTGACATTTGTATGGTATAAAAATTGACAAAATATGAAGAAAAAAATCAATATAGTATCACTAATATAGTAACAATATCCACCATGAATACTATGTACTTCTTTTTTGAAGTCTGAGAAACAATGAATTGCCAATGTTTTAATTTAATTTTCACGAGGTAAACTAACATTTCTATAGTAATGCAGAAAAAATATATAAAAAATACCTATATAATATCACTAATAAAGCAACTATGAATTGTTTATGATTTAATTTAATTTTTTTACCAATTAATTTATTTTAAAAAATATCTATCAACATAGAAATTTTTTTTTTTGGTGGTTTAGAATAATCATTTGATTAGTTTTCTTAGAATCTTGTGAGATTTGATTACGATATTTGGTTGTCTGAAAATCTGTAAATTTTAATATATTATTTCAAATACTTTATCCAACAAACTAGGTTTAAAATAACCAATAAATTTTTAATTTGGATAAGATTAATTAGATTGGTTTAGATGTTAATGATAAAATATGAATGTGAGAATTTTTAAACTATTGAAAACAAAATTGAAACTCGATATATTTAACCTTAAATTACAAATATTAATATAACAGTATTTAAAGCTGATCATACGAACATGGCAGAATGAAAATAAGAATTAACAAGAAAAATTGTTCTCCAGGTTCAACATGAGGTTCTTAAAAATCAAAGAATCAAGTTCCATAGATAATAAATTTATCAAGTACTACTTGATAAAATTACATTACATACATATTGGTTCAAAGGAAAAAAGGAATAATAAATGAAAATTATCATAAACTTGATATTTTGTAGACTTTGAATCAACAAAAAGTAAGTAAATAAAACAAACCACATGATGTGAAATCCCCTAGGCCCCTATACTTTGACAGATTGAGAGAGAAATAAAAATCTTGGTGTGGAAATAAAATCATATGACAAAAATTTGTGAAAACTTTTCAATAACAGAGTATTATTGAAAGAATTTGAACCGTTTTAGCAATCAAAATTCAGGCCCTTCTCAAAGTCATCGCTCCAAAATTAGAACAACAGAAGGAATAAACAAAACTAAAGTGAAAGGAAGGAGGCTAACAAGGCTGCTTCGAGTTTCATTCCATATCACAACATTTTTTGCTCCATCTCTTCACCAATCAATCTTCCTATTCTTCCCCCTCCTTTAGAAGCATTTCCTGTGAACGATCGACGGTCCAGATTCGTCATACTCGGCCTTGGCAATCCACATCTGCAATCACAAAAAGGGGTAAGAAAATTAGAGTCATCTCATTTGATCTATATTAGTAGTTCATTGGAAAGTATGGATTGAAAAAAAAACCACCTGTTGGAAGGTGCTAAGGGATGCTAAGATGGATCCTCCAATCCAGACACTGTACTTTCGCTCTGGTGGCGCCACGACCTTTATCTTCATGCTGCTCGGGGCGAGGGCGGAGATCTCCTTGCTCATTCTATCGGCAATGCCGGGGAACATGGTGGAACCACCAGATAGGACAATGTTGCCATACAGGTCCTTCCTAATATCTACATCACACTTCATGATGGAGTTGTATGTAGTCTCATGAATGCCTGCTGCTTCCATTCCGATCATGGAAGGTTGGAAAAGAACTTCGGGACATCTGAATCGCTCTGCGCCGATGGTGATCACCTGTCCATCAGGCAATTCATAGCTCTTTTCGACCGACGAGCTGGTCTTGGATGTCTCAATCTCCTGTTCATAATCGAGGGCAATGTATGACAGCTTTTCTTTCATATCTCTCACAATTTCACGCTCAGCAGTTGTGGTGAAAGAATAACCACGCTCCGTGAGGATTTTCATCAGGTTATCTGTGAGATCACGCCCTGCCAGGTCGAGACGAAGGATGGCGTGTGGGAGCGCATACCCTTCGTAGATAGGAACAGTATGACTGACACCATCACCAGAGTCCAGCACAATACCTTCAAAAACAAACACAGAGAACCTATTAGCCATTCGCCAAGACCACGCCCAACAAATTACTAGCAAACAACTTGGATGTTCAAAAGTCGGCATTTAAAAAACCATTTTCAAATTATCGTAGAGGATACAAACTAAAATCCAATTTGTGTCAAAAGACATCACATGTATTCTCACTTCGGAGTGTGTCCAAGCAATTAAAATTACATGAAAGCTCTAGCCTCCTATGAGTTAAAATTAAATGAAAAAACCATGGTTTACAACCATTTTGGTTTTAGCTTCCTGAAAATTTCTTTATATATTTATCATCTTTCTCAAAAAAACACATTTAAGTTTAAAAACAAAAACTGGAACATTTAAATAGTGTTTGATTCTTTATCGGATCATAAAAACCCACTTTACGAAGATCTCTTCCTTCTCTTCGGGATCGAAGATCAATTGCAATGCTTTCTTTTTAGTTTTCACAACCTTAAAAAGTAGATAACAAAACAAAGAAACAAATGAGTGTAAGTAGTATTGATATCTTAATTTCAAAAATAGAAAACCAAAAACAAAATGGTCACTAAACGGGGCTCAAGTAAAATGTTGGAAAGGGCTACTTACCAGTTGTACGACCACTTGCATACAAGGACAGAACAGCTTGAATGGCAACATACATAGCTGGAGTATTGAAGGTCTCAAACATGATTTGTGTCATCTTCTCACGATTGGCCTTTGGGTTAAGAGGAGCCTCAGTTAGGAGAACAGGGTGCTCCTCTGGGGCAACACGAAGCTCATTATAGAAAGTATGATGCCAAATTTTTTCCATATCGTCCCAGTTGCTTACAATACCATGCTCAATTGGATATTTCAGAGTCAAAATACCACGCTTGGATTGAGCCTCATCACCAACATAAGCATCTTTCTGACCCATGCCCACCATCACACCGGTGTGGCGAGGACGGCCTACAATGCTAGGAAACACAGCTCTTGGAGCATCATCTCCAGCAAACCCAGCCTAGAGAACAGCACAAAAAACATAATTTCCTCTTAAATGAACACTGAGTTCACAATATGTTAAGAAATGTATAACTTGTAACTCAGTACTACCTTAACCATTCCCGTTCCATTATCACACACGAGAGGCTGAATGTCCTCAGAATCTGCCATATTCTAATATCTGCCAGAAAAAAGAATGCCAGTTATAATAAACAACTGTTATTATATAACATCTCAGCCAGAACAATATTATTGAATAACTATAACTCCCTCAGGACTCTCGACTCCCATATGTATCTACTAAATTAACCAAATTGAGTATGTCATTGGCTATATTAGGATGTACAAGATACCCCACCCCTTCTGTCCCTTCAAATTCCAACAGAAAGAAACAACTGCATAATTCTAGGCATCATAAGAAGATAATATCTTCCGATGGATCTTTTATGAATACAGTTCCAAATCAAATTGACGTCAAAAGTTACCGTCTAAGGATCGATGCAGACCATTAACCAAATTAGAATTTGGTAAAAAGAAATGAAAAAAAGTCGATCAATCAACTTAACAGAAAATACATAACCAATCATGTTTATGATACGATCAAGAAATCGTCGTCGTCGTTCCATCTCGATTACGTCCAAAATCCACATTCCGAAAAAAGAAATAAATCAAGCGTGATAAAAGAGCCACCACATTGCCATTTCTTTAATCCAATAAATCGTCGTGTATGAAACAACATGATCAAAATGAACAACAACAATCCGAAACAACAAACGCGTTATGGAATAACAGAACAGATATGAATTAAGAGAGAGAAAAGATCGAGAGAATGGGAATTGACCTTGGAAATGCGATTGAGATTGAGGCCTGAGGGAAAGAGGAAAGGAGAGGAAGAGAGAGCGAGGGAGGGAGAGAAGAATTTAAAGGAGGAAACGAAGAAGACGGAATGTATGAAGGAGGGGAGATTGAATGTGGACCGTTGGATCTGGAGATGAGAATACAGACTGGATCCACGAGAACTGGGCTCGCTAGCCACACCACCTTCCGCTTTTCCAGTCATTTTTCCCGCTGCTTTCACGCTTTTGCCCTTTTACTATTTTTGTTTCCTCTCTATTCAATTTAATTTAATTACAACATTAACAAATTACAGCTTAAATTTTGGGCTTTTTAATTTTTAAATTTAATACTTTCTGTATTATGTAAATTCATAAATCAAACACCACAAGTTTAAATATATATTTTTTTAATTTTCCAATTTAGCCAGCCTTTCCCTTCCTTTCCATTTGAACCTAAATTTATGTATTACGTAATATATATATATATATTTTTATGGGACGATGGAGGGTATCTTATGAAATTTTGGATTTTGATGTATTAGGGGAAGAGAGGGGAGAAATATTGTTTAGAGATAGGTAGTTTCAACGTAGATAAATTGGTAAGGTACATATTTTCGACTAAAAGATCGTGTGTTCGAATCTCTACCTTTCACATTACACTACAAAAATAAGAGATAGAATTATGTGAAGCCACATGTTAAATTAAAACTTAAAACTTAAGTTTGATTAAGTTATGATGGATTTAATATTGTATATATAGTAGATGTTCCTAAGAAGTTGGAGAAGTGAAACTCAAAAGTATATGAACTTGTATTTATGTAAAAGTATTAATCAATGAGGTAGGTGCTTTAGGCTTCTAATTTCTTGAACGATCATTGAAGTATTTGGCTTTGATTTTGTTGATGGTCGTTGAGATCTTAAGCTTGCCACTTATTGAAGTATTTGGCTTGTAACTTGTTAAAGTTTTTGACTAGTAATCTGATGAAATATTTGGATGGTAACTTGATGAAGTTTCCGACGTTTGTAGATTGCGAAGATCTTCAACTCTTCAAAAAGATTTCAGTCTTCAAAGTCTTGGGAATTTTCTCTTACTCTCGATGCCTCTGGATTTGGGATTGTTGACATTACCATATGACATAATCTATCTAGACTACGGACTAATTTTTATGTCATCAAATGGTCATACACTCTTATTGTTTGATTTGCCACGTGTTGACTTGTAAGGAGACTAAATAAAATAACATGTAATTTCGTATCAATTTAAAATAATGATGTGGCAATAATTGATGTTTGGATTAAATTTATCATTTAACAGCATCAAATTCAATAAGTTTAATCTTGCACTTTTTTTTTAAGTTCAAACAGCAGAGATTCAAACCTTTTGTTATCATTGGATTGACTAATTAAAACTCATGTCATCATTTTGCTTAAGCGTACTTAATAACTTAAAAATAATATGAACTCAAAATAAATTATTTAAGTAATAATAACTCTTTCTTTTTGGAGTAAGTTTAAAATAATGGTTGATTTGATAAGTATTTATGAAAATAATTTTGTTCTAAAACTATTTCCCTAAATATTGTAGTTTTGAAATCATCTTCTGAAGTGATAATTTCATTAATTCAATGTCATCGGGAAAGTTTTGAATAACTTGTTTAATGTAGTGCTCATGTAGGACTTTTGGTATTGTTGATGCAGAAATTTGTCCTCCTTAGTTTCCGTCAAATTCGCACAAATTGTTAAATAATGAAATTGGGAACGAATGTCAACCTGCAAAACCAAATAGCACTGAATATTGATCAATGCTTAAGTTAGAATTGGAATAGTTGAATAAGAAGCGTAAGGTATTTTAGGCTACCTCAATTATGACCTAAGGCGATCATATATTTCTCCTTAATAAAGCCATCAGAAAATCTTCCTCTTTTGAATTCCTTAAATAAATAAAAGAAATTTGAATGTCAGACATTTTTCCATCCTAACAAGTATCTCTACGATCACGAGTTTAAATCATGATTATAGCACTTTTGTAATTTTTGTTCCATTTTCCCTCTTTTAAGAACCTTTTTCCCTAAAACTAATTGACATTTAATTAATAATGATTTTTTAAATAAATTATTATTTATTTAGACATTTCATATCATCTCTTCCATACATAATATATGACAATACAATAATTATTTCGTCGTTGAAAGTCATTTTGCATCGCTGAAGGTTTTCAGCATGAAAACGCTTTCGTCGCAATTGCAACGTTGCTGAAGGTTTTTAGATATCGTCGCAATGTTTGTAAATTAACTTTTAAATAATTATTATATATTTAGACAGTTGTACTTAAATTGACTTTTTCTATAATTATTATTTATTTAGAGCTCTATATTCTCTCTCTACCTATATTAACAAACAATATGAAGCAATGAAAAATAAAATATTATTATTTTTATAAATTTAATAATAACATTAATGTAATTCTTCATTTAATTTCACAATTATATAAATTTATTTATATATTTAAAATTAATTTAAGTCCTTGAACTATTAGTTTATTTTTAAAATTAATGTAGTTATTATAATCTACTATAAAGTTTTCATAATTTATAATAATCAAATAAAAATTAATTTTATTAAATTAAAAAAATGTACATAAAAGGAAATTTGAATGTTAAATGAGAGAAATGGGGGAATATTAATTAAAAAATAAATAAAATATGAAGAAAGAAAATTGAGTAAAAAGGGGGAAATATGCTACCTTCAAGATTTGATCCCATGACCTATAGGATATTAATTAAGTAAGAAAACCGATGGCCTATTAGTCTACGCGAGCACAGTCAAAACAATTAAATTAGTTTTTTTTTTTAAAACAACAAAGTAGTTTGGAAAAAATATTTTCAAAATATGTTTAAAAATCTATTTTCTTTAGAACAAAACGTGGAGTTTGAAGATGTGAATATCTATCTTTTATTGCTACGATTTTGGCTACTTTGTCCTTTGTGGGAATCCTTAGGCGGCTCCCTTTGGATGGGATCAAATCCTTATTAGCCTCTTTTTGAGAATAAAAGAAAAAGGTAAAATATGCTAAAATCAATCCTACACCCACAAGCTTAAGTTAATTAGAGAAAAAATAACTCGGACATTATTTTTTTTTAGAAAAGATATATCATTTCATTAACGAGTATGCGAGAAAAATACAAGACAAAAAAGGTTGATTAGATAAAGGCAATTCAATTAAGAGAAATGATAGCGATATCATCATTACAAAAGAGATTGGATTTGGAAGACCATGACGAAGTATCTATGATGATGTCGTCCTCCCAAAGCGAATCAATTGTTCGTGAGATGTTCGAAGAAGTGTGGTTGTTTCGTTCCAACCAAATGTTCCAAAGAATAGCTCCTATAGCGTTACACCACAAAATATATTTCGTTTGTAGTTACTGGGCTTGGAAATACACTCTGTGATAAAAGTGTCAATACAGCAGGGAAAGACAAGTGAAATTTGGAAACTGTACAACAAACGATGCCAAAGAGATGCCGAAAAGGGGCAATGCAAAAGTAGATGATCCATTGTTTTACTAGAGAGATTGTATAAAACACACTAGTTTGGATTAATATACATCAAACCTATAGCTTGTCCTGGGTGTTTTAAGCCTCTGTGTAAGATGCAACATATAAAGAATTTACACTTCTTAAGAAAGAGGAGACCCCATAAACAATCAAACAGAACAGGTGGACTATCAGATTTCTGAGCCAAGAGCCAACTTTTCAAGCCCCTTTATCCTTCAGGGGACGCGGAAAAGATAAAGCATGGTTATACCAAGAAGCAGCCTCTCTTTCAAACAAATGTCTATGAGGGCGTGGATGTTCGAGTAAGAGAACTCGGACATTAAATTAAATTTGATTCATGAAGACCCAATATGCGTACATTAACATATATATGGAAGTTTAAACAATGAAATCGTTATTTTGACGTGTTGGGTTGAACTCAGATGTATTAATTTAATTAGGGTGGAGAATTCAAATTCATAACCTCTAAATYAAAGACATGTGTCAATTACTGCTGAATTAAGCTTATGTTGAAGCTTTTAGAAAAAAAGTTARAAAGTACGAGAATGTCGCAAGTGCTTGATTAAGAAGAAGCACYTTGAAAATATATTTTTTTAAGAGGGTAGAACCATATTTCACCAAAGTTACATTTGTTTTATTGAATAAGTACTTATAATTAAAATTAGCTTAAAAAACTTGTTAAATTACAAATTTGGTTTCTTAAACTTGCATACTTGTGTCTATTAAGTGCCTTGTTCTTTAAAAAGTTTTTAATAAGTTTCCAAACCTTCACCTATYTGTCTAATAGGTCATTGCACAATGAATTTTGTTAGTTTAACACTTGAMATATGTAGATGAACTCCGGKAGCCTAATAATTCATTGTAATGAATYATGTGTGGCATTGAGAAAATTTAGGCAAACAATATATTATCAACATGGACCTATTATAKGTAAAAAATTAAAAATCTAGGAATCTATTATAATTTTATAGAGTAAAAAACCTTAACATATCATACAATCTCTTAAAACATTCACAAATTTACTAATTTTTTTAAAAGTATAATGACTGATTAGACGTACGACCTTAAAAATTTAGAAACTAAATTTGTAATTTAATAAAAAATATTTTATTTGAAGAACACTTGGGAACACATCTTTTACTCGCTATACATATGTGAGAGAGTACTAGTTAATAGTGAGATGAAAAAAGTGAAAGCTGCCATAGAAACACATTAGAGAGAAAGCATCTCCACACCCATAATTCACACATGTGCCCTATTAACTACCACTTTTCACAAACTCCCATACCTCATACCTCTCCCCTTTCTTGCCTCCTCTCACTCTCTTTTCCTTAACTTTCTTTACCAATTA